AGTATGGTGAGACGACCTCAGTAGATCCAATTGTCATGAACGCCGATTTTGCCAAAGAAATAGTTAGGGCCAACAGCGACAGTGCTATCAGGGCCGAAGAGCTGTCTGACAGACTGACTTCTTATTAAAATACGCAGAACCAGATGACGGCACACTGATATGAAGATCCTGGACTGTTAGTTAATATATTTACTACGTTTGCCTCCAATTGCCGACTTTCGGATATGAACATTCGCACCCCACACCCAAAACGGATCCGTACATGCCACTCATAGATATATAGAAATAGACATTTCGACGTTCCCTACTTATATTCTTACTAAGCACATGTTTCTGTTGTCGAACACCCGTTATGAAATACCCTTACTTGATTTGCTTGATTATCTGCAACTAAACCAAATCCTCTATAAGGTACACAGTGAAGTGTCTGACACGACTTTTCGAGATTAAATATGCCTTTGGCCGCCCCATGACAAAAACGCACAAGCCGTCAACTTGCGCGCGATGCAATGGACGCAACGCTCTAGCAGCTGCATGTCAACGTTCATTCTATGTACGTAAATCTCGATCGTTTTTGCTATTCCAGCCGTTTGTAGCAAGCCAGTGTCCCTGTCACTCCCTTATTTTCCCACATCTTTCTTCGTCTGTGTACAACATAAACCTCTAGCCATTTTAATGGCACGGAACAGAGCCCAAGATTTTATTCTCCGGTTAAGTATTGGTCCGCATAACTATAATCCATCTACTTCCCTTGTAGAGTCTGACAGTATGTACCGATATGTATGCATCCGTCCTGGATACGCAAGGACATCAGCTGACGGAATCTTCACAGCAGAATGCAGCATAAGCCTTATTTTGGGCACATTCAACATCCTGTTTGACCCCGGAAGCCCCTGGGATGGACCACTTGTCACCAAAATGTTGTCAGATCATGGCTTGAAATCCAGTGACATTGCATTTGTTGTTTGTTCCCATCCACATATTGATCACGTTGGCAACTTGAATCTTTTTCCGGATGCAACAATAGTTGTAGGAACAGAAGTTACGAAACATGGCGAACTCTATCGACACCCCATCAGTTATACCCATCCGTTTCGCATTGATGACAAGGTAAGAGATGCAAGTTCATTGCGTACCGTCTACTAGGTAGAAATAATTTTTACCCCAGGTCACACTGAATCAGACGTTTCGCTCATCGTGAGGGACACACATGATTATGGCACGGTTGTACTTGCTGGAGATATCTTTGAAAACGAGCAGGATATAAGTGAACCTTCCTTGTGGATGAATAACAGCATAAACACCTCATTGCAGGAACACAGCCGGAAGAATTTGCTGAAAGTAGCAGATTATATTGTTCCTGGTCACGGCGCTGCATTCAATGTATTTTTCGTTTCGATGATAATCTTTTTTGCAGGTTTCGAATGTTTCCAAAATTATCTAACTACCTCTAGTATACCAGACATCCGCAATTCTCGAGTCGCGATTCAGTGAGAGCGATAACTTTTTTTACATTAATATATTTATTTTATCACAGGTGCAATTTTAGCACCCTTCGTTCAAACAGCGCCGGCGTTGAGTTGTCGTGCTATCTGGGGAAGCGTCTTGGTAATAACAGAACTCTAACTAGAGTGGTAACCGGGCAGTATCATTGGTCTCATGAGTAAGGGAGAAATTGTCTTGTTGTCAAGTTGACTGGCGGTTAATTTGACCGAACGTACTCGTCAAAATTTGCGCTAATCCAGTACGTATACCCAGGGAAGGAGCCACTCAGTCTACACTAATGGAGTTCATAGTTCCGCTACGGAGCAGCAGTATATCGATTAATTTTACTGTCTAGCGCATGTACCTCTTTGCCAACTCGCGTTCCTCTAAAGCGCAGTGTTGAGTTGTTTTGAGCGAGTATAGAAGCCTGCAGACATCGTGCTAAGGGTTTGTAGTCAGGTAA